AAAAAATTTATGTATAAAATTATTTTAAAAATTATATATATATAATATCGGGTTGATTTAATCGCGGGTTGACTTATTTTAGTTAATACCAAACCAAAGTATTTATAAATTGGGCTTTTTTTAAATACCAAACCACTAATCTGGTTTTTTTTCGGTTTGTCGGTTTGGTGTGGTTTGCTGTTTGGTTTTGTTCACCCCTACTTAAAAATACTTTTTTAAAAGATTGGTCAAACACAATGAGCTTACAAAAAGCACTACTCAAACGAATTGGCAAAACAAAATTACTTTTAGAAAGCACTTTTCAATAAAAGTATTCTTCAAAATAAGAAGTTCGCAGCTTGATCAAACATGCTCTAAAACTCAAATGATAAGCCAGCTTGTGTTCCTGAGTAATCTCTTGCGGGTAAATGTACCTCATTTGAATTTATGTAATTTTGATAACTTTAAAATTCCCCGTGTTTTTCTCAATGTGATATTTTATCTTTACCTTTAAAATGGCTTTGACCAAAGTCTTTTTTTATAAGAATTTCAAATGTGGACGAAAAGCTTTGGATGGAAAAAATATAGACTTGACCAAAGTCCTTTTGATATTTTTTAAATTCATGTATGTAAATGTCATGTTTTCCGCCAAATTCGTGACCTACAACTCTTTAATTAACATAATAACAAGAAAAAGTTTCCTGATTTACAACCTTTAAAATTTCTTTATAGCCTTTACTTTTTTTCAAATTTTCAACTCTGCTTCGTTTATAATTTTAATCACGCCTAATCCACTGCTCCCCCATAAGCCAAAGCTCATCAAATCTGATATTTTAACCTTTTCTATTCCAATCCGTCTATTTTCCTTAAAGTAAAACTAAGTAGTTACTCAGGATCTCGGCTGACTGCAGTTGTCCGTTTTTATAAGCACTCCATAACTTCAGCCTTCCAACAACTCCAAATTTGTTTTCTTTTATGCTTAAGAGCTATACGCCCCACAATGACCAAGCTCCCAATAGTTAAGAATCAAATGATTATTTTAAAATTTAGAGATGTTGGATTATGGATCGTGGGTCGCTCCATGTGGGCTGATCCAATCCGGTTAAGAGAGATAAGTGAAAGAGGTTAAGGGAAGTTATCACTAGACCACAAACTCTACTAAACTGAACGTGCAGGGGGGAGTGGTGGGTTATCTTCCTTAATCGTTATTACTTTGTCTATTTATGTTAAGGAGAAAACACAGAAATTTCAAGCATAAAATTTGTATCTGATTAATCCTTTCTGCACAAAAAATACAGATAAGTTAGGGCATCTAATTGGTGGAAGATTAACTTTGTTTCCTAGTGATTCAAAGTTCGATTTGGGGAAATTGACAAGTATGCTAATGTTGTTCTTGCCCCGTGTTTATTAAACTAGCAATGGTATCAGAGCCAGTGATACTGTTTTCTGGTTTACATCTTCCCAGTCGATGCTATATTTTTTAAGACTGCTACTGTAATTTTCTTTGACACTTTCACAGTAAAAGAAAAAAAACGTCACAATTGTTTGATAACAATTCTCGAACTGTGAATCCTTACTGGAAAGGGAACAAAGTTTGTTTTGTAGTATAACTAATTAACAATTAGTTTGTTAGCGTCAAACAATTGGTTTTTGGCTAATGCCAATCTATTGTTCATACTAGAAGTTTTCTTCATACTTCTTTTTTGTCTTTTAGTACTTATATTTACTTTAACCTTCTTTGTCTCTTATGGTGCTTTAAAATAATTTTAAAGAAGTTGCTTAGCACCATTTTATATCATAGAAAGCATAAGTTAGTATTTTCTGTGAAATTTTTCTTGACATTCACAGAATGTAGTGATGAATTCCTTTGTTGCTAAAAAGAATAATTAAATTTGGAAAATTGTCACATATATTTCCAGGAAGTTTTCCATAAAGATTTTTATTTGTTAGACCAATCTGTTTAAGTGATGGCTGGTTAAATATAATTGGTGGAATTGGCTTATAAGCATATTATCTTGCAAGTCTGTGGAAGCCAGGCAACAAAGTCTACTGATTTCTTGAGGAATTTCTCCAACAAGTGAATTTCTTCGTAGTCGTAAATACTTTAGTTTTTGTTATGTCAAAAAGGGGTGAAGGGAAATTACCTGAAAATTGGTTAAACAATGTACAAGGAATGGACGTTTGGTAATATTAATGTCTATCATTATCGCACAAATCAGATTAATTGAACAAGAAAAGCTTTCTCTCTCTTGCTTTCTCTCGGCGCACAATTGGCGTGACACTAACGTACGCCCACCGAAAAATGGGGAGGGGACGTCCGGCCAAAAATGCGAAGAAAGTTCAGAAGGAGGAAATCAAACTTGCTGAGAGATGAAGTGCCACAATGGAGGTGAATATCACTCCCAAAAGCTTGCTAATCCAAAAAAGGGGAGACGCTGCTTATAGTACCAACCGTGTTAATGGAAGCAGTGATAATCAAAGCCACAACGCCAATTGAATCAAGTGGAATTAAGGAATTAGAGAACACTAATGAAGGATCACACATTGTGCAAAAGATGGTGAGCAAAGGAAGGAGCAGATGAGCCCAAACCTAGAAATTTAGCATGCGCTACCTGTTAGGGTTGAAGGAACTAAAACACCAACGAGTATTATGAACACACCGGCTACCATGTGAGCTCCAACTGCTCAAATTGGGCAAACCTCAAGCCAACCAAATGGGGGAGGAATAGATAAACCAATGGGAGAGATCATAGTGCCAACTGAGTGGCCACCGAAAATAGGACCTGTAAATGGTAGTACACAGAAGAGGTTGCAACTGGAGCAAAAGGATCCTGGAGAGAGAACATGGGCAAATTTGATTGAGGGGAACAAACTGGCAGCTAAAGGAATGAAACTCAAATTTATTCCACCAATAATTGTCAATGGTGAAAAGGTCGTTGAATTAAACCAGACAGTCGTAACTAGCGAAAATGAGAAATGGAAATTTGCCCTAATTGGCTACATAATTGGAGGCACAACCAAGATTGGATCAATGGAGTGATACGTAGCAGCACAAGGCAGATTTGAGGATAAACCAAACGTATTCTATCACAATGCAGGCTATTTTGTGATCAACTTTACTTGTGAATAAGATATAAATAAATTACTATATGTAGGCCTCATATGTTGAACAACATACCTTTAATCCTAAAACCATGGACCCCTAGGACCCCTAAGTTTAATTTTGATGATGAAGAATTGAGAACAATTCCAACTCTTGTGAAGTTACCAACTCCCATTAAGCTGTTGGAGTCCTACTGCTCTTAGCAAAATTGGGAGTGGTTTGGGACAACCATTATATGCTGATGATTGTACTATAAACTCTGCTAGAATATATTTTGCTAGAATCCTTGTAGAAGTGGATGCCACTAGAGAATTACCTAATAATATCAAGGTTAAAGATCCAAAAGGGAGGATGTTTGAACAAGCATGGTGCTATGAATGAAAACCAATATACTGTCATGGGTGCTTGCAATTAGGACATAAGTGTCAAACATAGAGGAAAAATCAGAATAACAATAAACCAGGGCTATAACAGAAGACAAAGTCACAGCAATAGAAAACAGAATGGAAGGTGATTAGAGATACTAATAAAATCAAAAATCAGGAGACATCTGAAGCTATAAAGCCAACTCAACAAGATGAAATGCCAACAAAGCAAACTATGCCTGATGATGCTGGAGATTGGAAGGAAGTGAGGGGCAGATCGGCAGCAAAAAAATCCACAAGTGCCTCAACATGACAGTCATATAACTGTCATAAATGAATTTAAGATGCTGGTTAAAGGAGGAAAGTCTGATAGACAGAGCTCAAGTCAATCTACTCAACCCAGACTAGATGCAAATAGAGAGATTGCAGGGGACAGGGACTCTCATACTCCTCAAACATATTAATAGTTGCCTGGAATGTGAGGGGGTTCAATAAGGTGTTCAAGCAAAAGGAGATGAAGGTGTTTTTAAAAAAGTATAAAGTTAGTTTAATAGCAATTAGTGAGAATATAGTTCAAGAAAATAAAACAAATATAATCTTTAATAAGTTCATGCCAAATTGGAAGTGGTGTATCAATACAGGCCATGTGTTAAGATGTAGAATATGGGTTGTCTGGAATCCGGATGATATTCAGTTCATTGTTCTGGATACATCATCACAAGATTCATAGCCTAGTGAAGACAAAGACAATGGAATTTCACTTCTCAGCTATCTACGGGTTGCACACGTACGATTCATGTTAGGGGTTAGTTGTGGTTTAAACCAAGAAGTTTGGATGCACAAATGACAAGTCAATGGTTGATAATGGGGTATTTCAATTCTATATTATATACTAAAGATAAAAGCCATGGTAGTGAAGTGTAGGAACATGAAACCAAGGACTTCAAAGAATTCATAGAAGATTGCAGGATTGAATGAATTGCCAACTGTTGGAGGTACATATACATGTACTAATAACCATGTGTATAGTAGGATTGATCGAGCTATTGTAGATGGTGCTTGGATGGTCAATATGCCTCCACTACAGGTTCAGATAATGAACCCCCATTTCTCAGACCATTCTTCATTGAGCATACAAATAGAAGCATCACTTGAAACTAGGAAAAAGCCATTCAAGTTCCTTAACTACTTAGCTGAACATCTAGACTTTATAAATATAGTATAGGAGAATTGGGCCCCGACTGATGGGAAGATAGCTAGTATATGGGCAATCAGGAAAGCAATAAAGCAAAATTATAGAACAAATGTTACTAAGATGATACACAAGCTCAGAGTTGAACTGAAAGACCTGCAGAGCCAAATGAGGGATACTAATGGGAGTACAGAGCAATTTGACAAGGAAAAAAGTCTCAAAGTGCAACTTGAAAAATGGAGCCTCATTGAAGAAAGCATATATAAGTAGAAATCAAGGGTGCAGAACATCAAATTAGGGGATTCAAACTGCATATTTCTTTGCCAGTATGAAAGGGAGGAAAGCGCAGAATTAAATCAGAATGCTAATAGCAAAGAATGGAGAAATGATCAACAATACTGAGGAGGTTCAGAAGGAAATAATGGGCTTCTATAAACAATTGTTGGGTTCAACTTCTAAAAATATGTCAGCAATACACCCTGGTATTCTACAACATGGAACCAGACTTAACAGGAGGCAACAACTCCAGCTCATAAAACCATTCACTAAGGAATATGTATTGCAAGCCCTGAAAGGAATAGATGACATGAAGGAAACTGGAGGAGATGGATTTATCTCATACTTTTTTAAGAAGGCATGGCCTACTATAGGAGATGATGTAACTAAGGCAGTTTTGGACTATTTTGAAACTGGTACTATGTACCAGCCTATAAATACTACCTCGGTTACCTTGATCTGGAAAGTGAAAAACCCTTCCTCAATTAAAGAATACAAGCCCATTTCCTGTTGCACTACTCTGTACAAAATTGTGTAAAAAATGATTACTAGTAGATTGCAACTTGTGATGGAGATTATAGTTGATCATAGCCAGGCTATTTTTGTGCCTGGTAGAATGTTGGCTGACAATGTGCTGCTCAGTCATGAATTGGTTAAAGGATATGGCAAGAAAGGAGTATCACCCAGATGCATGTTGAAAATAGACATGTAAAAGGCATATGACTCTATAGAATGGGTATTTCTTGAACATATGCTAACAGGACTGGGGTTCCCCGAGAAGTTTGTAGATAGATCATGGGATGTGTAAAAATAGTATCATATTCTATAATCATTAATGGAAGTCCTACCCCCCCCCCCCCCATCAGTCCAAAGGTTGAACTTGTTAATTACTAAGTTGGTGTACTCACGTTACCCCCTGCACCTCGTGTGCAGATTCAGGCACTTTGGATCTAGTGGCAGATGTTCGATCGAGGCTTCAGACTTAGAATATTATGGAGGTACCTGCACGACATTCGCAGGCCTTGGCTCTTCACCTTACTTTCCAGTTANTATTTGTAAGAGTACTTGACTAGATTATTGAAAATCTTGAAGGAGAAGCCAGATTTTAACTTTAACCCTAGATGTGAAAGGCTACACATAGTGCAACTAAGCTTTGCAGATGACTTGCTTATTTTTTGTAGAGGTGATGTAATTTCAGTAAATATTCTATATAGATGCTTTCAACAATTCTCTGAGGTATTCAGACACATTGCAAATCAATCTAAAAGCAGCATTTACTTTGGAGAAGTATCACTAGAAACCCAACATGAAATCATCCAAGCCTTGGATTCTCTATTGGTTCCTTACCCTTTAGGTACCTTGGAGTCCCTTTAAGCACTAAAAAGCTTACAGTTGGGCAATGCCAACCTTTGATACCTTTGATAGACAAGATGATAGGAAGGTTAACCAGTTGGACTACCAAATTTCTGTCATATGCAGGGAGATTACATCTAATCAAAAGTATACTAACTGTTGTGCAATCATTCTGGGCTCAAATTTTTCCCTTACCCAAAATTGTGTTGTAACACCCCGTACATTCGAACTAGGCGTGGATATATTAAATGGGTGTTAATTTGATATTTTAGACATATGAAGTCCTTGAGTGATGATTATTGGTGAAAATAGTTGTTTTAGAATCAAGATGGAAAGTGAGCTGCATAAGATTCGACAAAATCGACTAAGTTTGCAGAAGGTCTATCTTTCATCAAGGTTTGGTGAAAATGTGTAATAAATTTGGGATAACTCATAGCATTAAAGTTGTAGACCTTTGAAATATCTTTCCAACGATATATTATGAAGCCCGAACGGATCTCTATGCAAAACATTATGCACGTTTTACAGAACAATATGTGATATGCGCGCCCCGAGCATGCCCGCGCTTCTTTTGAGGCAGTGTTACTACCATTTTGTGCAGTCAATAGCGCGGTCAGGCCTTCAGGTGCGCGGGAGCGCTCATGGGGGGTCGTTTTAAAGCCCTATTTCATCCCCCACATCCCCAAAATATAAAAACTTGCTCTAGAGAGGGGAGCTTTCAAAAACCTAACTCCTCAAGGGTCCCTCCACCACCCAAGGTAAGTTCTAATGGTGATTCTAAATTAATTTCAATTTTCCAATATCCTATTAACATGGGTAAATCCTCCATATCATTAGATATTCAATTGAGACATTATTGTTGAGAGATGAAACCTTAGAACTCGAATTCAAGAGGATTGAACTTCAAAAAAGTAATGTCTTCAACCTCTAATTGATTATACTATTGGATTAATGATTATAGACTCTAGTTCATGAGATATGAGTTGATGGATTTGATAGAAAAGCATGAACGATTATAGGTTTGGGGTGTTGATTGTTGATTATTGGTTAAGGGTGTTGTTTACCTTATGGGTGATAAAGAATATGTTGATTATAACAATTTGAGACTTTAGAATTTATTTAGGATAAAGAGAATGGCTTGTTGGGTATAGAAACGCCATTAATAAGGACTATGAAGCTTGATGTCACCAAGTGTTGGAGGAAATGTTTAAGTGACTAAAACATGAGAATTTATGCTAATATGGAATCCCTTTGACTTGTATTGATATAGATTAAAGTTGAAAGGGTTGGCGAATGTTGTATTACGCTCAAGAGCAGGAAGTTAAGGTATGTGAGGCTAACTCTCTATGTTTGGAAATTTTAATGATTCTCCCTACACTACGTTTCTTTTACGATGTTACCAATTGCCTCAGAAATATAGTTAAGCCTAGTTCCTTGAATAGTTATAGAACTTCTGTTCTCTAGCTTCATAACTCATTCACCACTTTCATTCTAAACGTTGTGAGCTCAATGCGTATTCAATATAGACTTGGGTTTGATGCCCCCAAGTCTTAATATAGCTTACTCAGTATGCCATAAACAGTTGAAGTTTCAGTGTTCATAATCACTTTAAGAATACATGTCTCAGTCTAGTCCTATTCAGTATTCCAGTATTATGTAACTCAGGGTGATCCAGTATTCCAGTACCATGTAACTCAGTGTAATTCAGTATTTCACTATCATGTATTGCAGTGTGATTCTCAGTTCCTGAATGTTGAACACCTGTATGTGGGCCTGAGGCCGCAGTTTATGCTTTATGCATCTTTGGGCCTGAGGCCACAGTTATGTATACGTATACTTGGGCCCGAGGCCGCAGTTCTTTATATATATATATATATTGGGCCTAAGGCCGTAGTTTATTTATTCAGATAAACAAGTTGTTCATCATTCAGAAGAGGGAGTGTTCATATACTTACTTCCTTTGTTCAGTTCAGTTATCAACTATCATTTCGGTTATCAGTTGTCATTTCAGTTATCAGTTTAGTTACCAGTTATCAGTTATCATTTCAGTTTCAGTTTCAATAGTTATCACTTCAGTTATCAATTATAAATTCTCAGTTATCAGCTTGGTTTCAGTTTCAGCATTTATAATTCTTTCTTTCAATTGCTTTATATACCAGTGCAATTCAAATGTACTGACGTCCCTTTTTCCTGGGGCCTACATCTCACGATGCAGGTAATGATTTACAAGTTGATGATTCAGAGCGCTAGGATTCTCGTACTAGCTACTTGGTGATCCCCAGTTCTTTCGGGGCATTATCATTACCTTACAGTCTTCAGTATTTTCAGATAGTCAATGTTTTCAGTACTTCATTAGAGGCTTCATAGACTAGAGTAACAGCTAGACAGAGTCGCAGGCTTTTCACATTAAGCTATGTTGACTACAAATATGTTTCAAAATTGTATTAGTATTTCCGCACTTTAATTTTTATCATTCAGAATTTCAACATATCAATATGTGTTAGTTTATCTTTAGCATTTAGTATGTTATAATATCACATTTGATTCAGCGAGCCAGATGGTTCGCTCGGTCACATGTAGTCAGGCACCGAGTGTTGTGTTACGTCCAGGCCCAGGTTCGAGGCGTGACAAAGCTTGGTATCAGAGCACTAGGTTCAAGAGTCTTAGGGAGTCTATGAAGCCGTGTCCAGTGGAGTTTCCTTTATATGTGTGTGCCGGTCACTCATATAAACGCTTAACTACCAAGACATCTAGGATTGTCTTATTTCTTTCTGCTCTAGATCGTGCCATGAAGCTTAGAGTAATAGGTAACCTTCTCTTTCTATCGAATTCCTGACGTATTGAATGCCCAAGCGACGGGCAAGAAAAACCCGAGGTTCTAGAGAGGATGATTTTCCATTGGGATATAATTATGGAGTACAAGTTAGTAACAAATGAGACTTGAGAGTATGATGGAAATGGGATGCAATGGATAGTAGTACAAATTAGAGCACAACTTTATCAAAAAGTACAAAAGCAGTTACTAGTTAGTGGCCTTTCAGCTAGCAAGTGTATGGTTATTCGGTATGCCAATTATCAGTTATTCAGTTACCAGATCTCTAATTTTTAGTGTATTAAAATTCTGGTGACTGGTGAGTATACAGTGATGCATATAGGTTCTCAAAGAAAATATAAGTATCAATGATTATAGAGAAACCTTCGCATATTTTAGGTCTGGATTAAGACCGAAGACTCACCGGATAGCGCAAGAAGTGATTTATTAGATAATGATATACTTTGAAGGAGAAGTTCGTGTATGGTAGTGTATTCATATGTAATTTACCTCATGAAACAAATTCATTTTTAATTCTTGGAAATGGAGCCACAAGTTGGATGATGATAGTTCAGATGTCAGACCCTAACATTAGTCACTATAGTTTTGGACAGAAAAGGGCCTAAGGGTAAAATACCTAGGAGTCAAAAACATTTGTTACTACCAAAGATGTGATTTCGTAAAATTCATGCAAATGACTAGAAGATAATATGTATGTAGTGAGAACCAAGAGCAGTCAATAGTGAATTTCAAGGAATAATTTTAAGTTGTTTAGATTTATTCGTATTAGAACTAAAAAGTACCACATTAGTAAGTTGCTATAAGAAGCATCTATTATTTTGAGATACAAGGATATGACAATTCCCCTTAAGTTATTTGACTAAGTATTTACCCCGAATGTTTATAATCTGATATGATTTTGAAGTATATAGAAAGTAGGAGGTTAGATATTCCAATTTTGTTTATGAAAGATGAAATTTCCCTAAGTGTGATCCATGTACATAGTTCAAAAAGAATAATAGTGTCCGGCAAAAGAATATGGTCAGATGATGAGGGAAGTTAGGAGTAACCTTATGCTTCATTTTAGTTATTCTAAGCAGGAGAAGAAAATATGATGCTAGCAGGTGGTTAGTAAAAGGATATAAGTAAGTTTTGAGTAGATACAACAAATTAGCAATTTCAGCAGAGCTAGTAGAGGTACAATTTGATTCACATAGCCAAGTTAACTCTAGTGAGTGGATGACATCTTGAAATACCAAACACGTGTTAGAACCGAAAGAGTTTAAGTTATACCCGAAGTACAGCGATAGTGGGAAAAATAATCAGCTAGGCAGTAAGAGAGCCAACTACAGAATAATAGCCTTTAAGAATTA